AAGTTCATTCTTGAATTAATTCTGTCATGACCAAAGACCACACCACCGCACACGGCATGGAGCCAGAGGACAACCCTGCCAACTCGTTTCGTGCTTCCAGACTACCTAGCTTGTCATGACCACCCACAACCAGTGCTATATATGGTTCTGCTCCGCTCCACGCAGGGCAAGCAATTGCTAAGCTCCCTGGTGTCTCTCATCTTGCATTGCCTCCAAGACATCGATCACCGTAGGAGGCACTTCATTCAATTCCGAGGTAGTTAGCCTACAAGAATTCCTTCATCCTCCTCTATTATTTTCTGGACCCGCGGTCTCATCTAGTATTTCTAGACCCACAGTCATGTGCAAGTCATCAAGTCCAATAGCATGATTATCCTTCTCCAATAATATCATTTTCTTCATCTCTAGAGCTCATTTGAATTTATTTATTGATTGTGAAATAAATTTTGTTAGATTACTAAATTCATGATCTATCTGTTAGTGTAATTAGTTCAGTATAGTTCAAAGTGATACCTTTAGGGTTACTTTATTATTTTGAAATGCTTATTATGGTTATTTAGAGAATGAATTTTTATGATGCATGGTAGCTAGTGCAACCTTGTTTTATTATTTTATAGTAAATTGATATTAACAATAAGGATGCCTTTAGTTGCTAAGATAATACATGAAATGTTTCATACTTGTTTAGTGGGAATAATAGGTAACTTTTGCGTATTAGTCATTAGAGTTAGCTTAGTAGCTTGGTAGATGTATTCTTATTTTAAGAGTTGCGTGTTGCCTATATATTAATTATTGCATCATCATCATCTGCATGCATATAGAGGACGAGCCACTTTGGAGATCGTGACCTTTCAAGTGAAAGGGAGTACGACGAAGTCATCGAAGAGTACGAGGAGATCCTCGTGCAGGAGGATGTTCTGAGCCACCCGTCCATCGACATTTTTTTGACACCGCTTGCCCAAGCAAGCCCCTGTGCATAACCCCCTATTTTAAATGATCTTTGAATATATTTATATGATATGCATTTATGTTACTGTGCATTTATGGAAGCTACATGCATAAATATATCCACCATGAGTACTACTAGTATAGGTCAGAGTAGCTGCTATGCTCAGGATGTTTGTGAGCGTGAGTAACCTATACGTTACTCGCAAATAGGTGTTTAAACTGTGATATCATGATGAAATAATGGAAAGGAAAATGGTGACCGGACAGGGATGTGGATTTGGTACTGGTGGGTGTGAGGGGTTGTGTCCGCGGCCAATGGGCATAGCCCGTTACACTTTTTTCCCCTGCCGCATGTCGATTAAGGACCGGTTAATTGCATATGACTCTAGGCAAGTCACAGATTATTGTCCCGAGCACATACTTGGGTATGGGCGCAGGGAAGGCTTGTTGCTCTCTTGTCGCGGATCCGGCTCTTCCGGACCGGATCGATGGGAAGAGGAGGTTGTGGAGGTCCTTGCACCGCACCGAGTCCCGGGACTCGTGGATGGGGGCTTGAGTCCAAGTTTGACGGGACTTTGGACACCCGGGACAGAGAGTGGTGGGTTAGTCCCGCTTGTGCCCGGGGTACAAGCGGGCGTGTCTTCGGGGCACCCAGCCAAGTACATTGATTCGCGAATCGCCGGGTTATCCTAAGACGTATTTGTCTGCGGTTTAGCAACCGTAGTAAGAACTCAAAAGTTGAAAGGAGAAGAAATGGAACTGATTGCTCAACTCTTGCTTGAAAGTAGAACAGCTTATATAGATTGACTAGATGAAAACTTAATACGGTCGATGATAATAATGTATCAATAAGGACTCACTATTAGTATTGCTTTTTGCTAAAAGAGAACCAAAGAAACCATAAAGCCTAGCATATTCCTTGGAGTCGGGAAAGTATTTCACCGTTTCCGGATAAGTCTTATGAAATACATTGTGTACTCAGGTTTATTTAATTTCGCTAGTGTGGACGCTTGAGGAGTTCCTTGTGTGGAGGATCCATCCGGTGGGCTCGAACGGAATCCTCGTTATCTTTTTCGCTAGATGTTATCTTTTAATATTCCATTGCTTATCATTCCGCACTCTATATTTGGTATTGTAATAATGTACTTTTCAAGAAACTCTAATGTATGAGATAGACTTGTGTTGTAACTCGTTTCATTATTGGATCCTTGGGAAAAATATGGATCTTTTTGGGTTCTCCTTGGGGTGTGCTCGACGGACACCGTCATTGTGCAGAATTACTTTTCGAGGTGCTTAGTGTCTACGATGGAAGACAAGCGCCCTTCATATCGCAGCTATTTCAGTGGTTCTCGCCACATTGGTACCAGAGCCAATAATGGTCACGAGTTCCTCACTCTTTACAAAACTAAAAGTGGACCAACAAAGTTTTTGTAAAAGTAGGATGCTTGATTAAGTTAGTATAAGCCCTAGCTATATGGTATATCTAGGATAGCGGCAACCGGTTTTATCTAATCGGTTCATAGGTACACGCAGACTTACATGACGAAGAAATCGCTTAGTATATGGAAAGTGAGCGTGCGATGTGCCGAAAAATTTCATTTAACGCCGCTATATTCCAGCTTTGAGTGAACGATAGGTCGAAGCATGCATCATATAATAGCATCTTACTTGAACTAGGAATCCCCTTCACGTATAATGAAAGTAGTAACTTGCAGGATTAACTCTCATGAATGCCTTAAAAAATGTGGCCGCCATTTCTTTAATCCCCGGATCCTGATCGAGAAGGTGTTCTAATGGATGGTTCGTCTCTCTTATAGATGAATCTGGAGGTCCGGGACGTGGGAGCACCCGTCGGGAGCGCCAACGAGGGCCATGGTGACGCGTGTTCAGAGCTTTGAGCGTGGCAAGGGAGCTCGGGATGTTCCACCCTTGGTTCCTCAGCCTTTTCTCGACCACCGCCTCCGCTTGGCCGTCCGCCATGTGAGGTCATCATGGTGAGTTGTTGGTGGTCGCCAGAGAGTCAGCCGGGTCAGTCAGAGACACTGCGTGCCATGGAGATTATGGCACAGGCCTCATGGGTCTTCGCCTGGAGGTTCAGGAGGCAACGGGGAATGGGGTGGTGCTCGTGCGCCCCTAAGGGACAGTCCTCTTACCAGACTTCTCAAAACCCACCCGCCCACATTCACACCGGCCGGACGATCCGTTGAGGCGAGTAATCAAGCTTCGCGACATTGGAGCAGAAGTTTCTACTGCGTGGAGGGCTAACTATGGCAGAAGATGCACTTGCGTCCCAACCGCTTTAGTCCTGCAGTGCTCGGTGGGAGACTTTTCTGAAGCCATGGAGCTGCCGGATCACCCGGCGACGTGGCGAGTTCTCCACCGCCCGCTGAAGTTCTTCATATACCGCTGGTGTTATCCACCGTAAGGTGACCGAGTTCATGGAGCTACGCTAGGGGAGCAGGATAAAGAATGAGTATGTGACCCGGCCCAACCACTTGGCTGTTTATGTCAGGTAGTCGTGGACACTTGGATGACAAGAAGAGGGATCGCTTCTTTCATGGGGTCTCACTTCGCCTTCAGAGAAATCTAGACCTGGGAACTATCAACTTTTGGGGTTTCTAATGAAACCTTCGCCATTGTTTTTGAGGGTTTTCAGCCGGGCATCCCAAAGTGGATTAGAAGGAGCAGGGTGCAATCGGATCCTCCAAGTCATCCCCATACTCGAAGGTGCAGACAGTTAGGCGGGGCCCTATCAACCATCCGGGCGGGCCTCTGTGATCGCCACCCCAGCAGTATCATCATGCATCACATTTCAAGACAAGGCACCTCAACGAAAGAAAAAGTAGCAGCATCAGATCAGATGATACCTTGTTCCATTCTCGCTGTGGATTCGGGAAATGCCTGGTGTTGTTTCAAGTGTGGCAAGGATGGCCACTATGCTGTGGAGGTCTCAAGAAGCAGACAAATTGCCCCACTGGCCCCAAATTCCAGTCGATTAAGAGGACTTTCATCAAGAGGAAGGTGC